ACAGGCGTATATATGGGTGGAGTTCAGCACTTGCAAAACCCTCACAAAGTTATGACAATCCATCTGAGGGAGGAAAGAGGGGTTAGGTTAAGCACCAGCTTATGAAGACCAATATTTGCACAGTTTAACATAAGGGGACAAAGAGGTCAGACCGTTCAGCACTGAAAGTGGTAGGTTTCCTATACCTTCATTTTGCCTTTCATGGCACAGTCAACGAGGTCTTTTTCTGACGGAGACCAGTCCAGCTGAAATGTGAGTGTAAAAACTGGGTCAGGTTCATCACATGCATATATCAAGGCACAAAGAAAGCTGATATTTATTTGAAATCTTATTAAACTGATGGAAGAAAACAAACATTAACAACACAATATATACATGCATGCAAACAATACACATATATTAATTCACTTCAATTTTCAGAGCACACTGATTACTTAAAACAAATAAAAGCTAACAAATAAATCTTAAATAATAAGTCATTTATCTATTTCAGTGAGAAAAAAGCTAATATTTATTGACTAAGTTGTTTTGTGATCAGCTTAATCTATTCAAGCAATAAAGTACGAAAGGTCTTTGCTAAAGTTTGATTATAGTCATGACTGAAGTGCTTTATTGCTTATATAAAATGTTATACACAATAGCATGAAACAGTATATAAATTAAAACACTGAGGTCCCTGACATAACAGAAGGTTGCTATGCACCATAAATAATGATTTGCTACGGTAGCTGTTACTATACTGTGAAATATAAGATAGCTTGAATTTTTGCTGCATTGACCAAACAGCATCTAGAGATGATCCACTAATAATGTACAGTATGTTTTTTTTATGTTTCATTGGTATGTTTCAGTTACTCTGATTTGTTGTGCTGACATTTTCTAGGTTATATACTTCAGTCAGTCATGTACTAAATCAAAATCCCACTGACCTTTTCCTTCACGGTCATCCCATCAGTCTGACTGACATCGATTGTGAGAACTGCATCACGTGCTCCGACGAATAAAGTGCCCTCATCATTGCTAAGCAACAACGTGGTGGTGTTGTAAACATCAGGGTTTGTGAAGACCGTGCGCGAACGTCCTGGACTACCTGTGACGCAGCAGAAAAGAAAAACCACTATGAATGAGCAAAAACATAATTGGAAAAATAATGGCAAATTACAGTCTTATTGTATAGTTACCACTAATTCCCATTATTTTCAAGAGTGCAAGAGTTGTCAATATTTGGGATCATTAAGATTTTCATTATTTTCATATTCCATTAATGATAGTTAAGGTGGGTTGAGAATATGATGTGAATCATTTAAAGCACAACCCTATTATTTATCCTAATTAACTGTCCATCAAAAGACCTGATTTTCCAAATGCAATTATTATTTTATTCTGAGGTGATTTAGAACCCAGATAATCACCATGATGTGAAAAGATCACAAGCTAAATGATTTGGAGAATT